ATACTTTCTTGCAAATTATTTCACATTTATCACTTCTTTCTTCAGGTTACAAACACCTTACATGCTTCAAAACCACTATTTAAATATTATAAAATTCATGTTCGCCCTTTTTAAAGCAGTAAAGATTTATTCGTTTCCTAGGCATACAAGTGCCTTTACGGAGGCTGGTCTTTTTTCTATTTCATTATGTTTTCTTACACTTGAATTGAACGGGAGGAGTGTGGCTTTAAGGTAATGAAAATGTTGTCCCCATTTATTTACCTTTTTTCAGGTAGATAATGCTTGTCTTACTTCAAGGCTTGAAAGATGAATTATTATTTCAGACAGTAAAAAAAGCAGAAAGTGTTTATTACCAACACCTAAATTGTCAGTTGTACAAGAACAACAAATTATTTACTGCGGCTATTATCTTAACACCATGATGAACGGGCCGAGCTAATAAAGCTTAAATTGGCATTTTCTTTATATATAATTAATTGACATTTTCCATAGAAAACTCGCGAAATATAACAAGAAATAAGACATGCTTCAAAAGTCACTCGTACCATTTTTGTAAATTGTTTTACGTGTTAGTTTTAATAAGTGGCGGGAAAAATGTGTCGGCAATTTTTCTTAAAGGCACATTAATCCTGAGAAACGCATTTGTTTCAGTTCTCAAAAGCCTTAATTTTTGATATCATACTATGTTTTCCAAAAATGTTACTCATTGGCCAATTACTCATTTGAAACATCTTCTGATTTTTATTTTATTGTTTTCTTACTATTTATACCATTATAGTGATTTACTATTTTGTATGGAAGTTAAAATACTGCTTTTTTTTACATTTTGCTTGTTTTATGACCAATAACTTCACATTCCGCGCTACTATCTCAGATGATAAGTTTCGAAATGCTCTTAAACCATTACCTTAACGGTATAAAACTCAAGTGTGCATGCCCTTTCTAAAGAAGGACAATTTTATTCGTTTCTGAGGCATAATGTGCCTTTAAATAAGAATATATATCAAAAGAAAAATGTAATAAATGAAATAAATCTATTGTAAGTACATGTATAAACCTACAAATTTGTGGTGGTAAAGTATTTAAATTTAATTTTAATTAAGTACTATCTCTTTAGTGTGTTTAAATTTATTCGGTGTGCATCTAAAACCTGACACCTGTTTGCTGTTTGTTGAAGCTTATGTTGACAAGTATATATCTTGTATATTTTACTTATAAATGTAATATCATATTTCCTGGTTTTAAGTTGGGTAACGCCTTTTTTATTTTAAAAAACACACAGGAGTCTCAATACTTTTAATGTATAATTAAAACTTAAAAATACATCTTGAAGATTTAATTAAGATTGAATTAAAAAAGCAAAAGGCTTCCTTCCAGTTTTTCCAGAGTCAACATTTCATCCAGAAAATGAAGAAAAGTGTTTCGACGCTTTTCACTCAAATTAACGAAATCTATATACCTTACTAATAGATATTTTTTTATCCCCCCTCCCTCCAAATGGTGAATGACTAAATACCCCCAAGATAGAAAGATAAAATAAATAAAAAAATAAATAAATAAATAAATAAATAAATAAATAAATAAATAAATAAATAAATAAAAATAAAAATTGAGATACTAATATAATTAAATGAAAATAAATTAATCAAAAAATAAATAAAAAGAAAAATAAATGAAAAATGAGATGTGAATTTCTGAAAATAACTGAACCGGAAGATTTTGTTTTATGGTAAAAAGGGGGGGGGGACTTAGACTATGCAGAAGCACATTATATCCATTGTTAAGGCTTTTATTTATGGTTAAGATAGACCATTTTCATAATGCATAATATATGTAGCATACACGACGGGTTATCAATCCTCCTCTAACTTACAGAGTGTCACGAACGCTGTCAAACCTGACATGTTGATAGCCAGCCGAATTTGTAATCATGTCATGCATACACATGGACATTTTTATTATACTTTTTGTGTGATACATACGTTCTGATGTCTGGACTCTTACTGGGCATGATTCTTGGTGGTCAGTACATTTACTAAGTAACCCAAGTTTATGGGTTTTTTGTGTGTTCTGCTCCAAATTTCTCCAGAATTGACGTATGAAAAGAAGAGTCATTTTAAAGATCATTTCATCTTATTTCTCATATATCAAGCACTTTTAAAAAATCTCTCAATTATAATGTAAATTTTTACACAGTAATTTTAGGTGCGTCATATTTTTGTCCTGTAAAGAAGCACCCGTAAACAGTCTTTAAGGCTTTGGTTTTCATTGAAAAAAAAAAGCGGTCATCAGGATGATTATGACCTCCAAGAAAATTTAATTTCAACATTACTAAGGTTGGTATAAGAAAACATATTGCTTAGATACAAAAAGAAGAAAGGGTTCTATCAAACACAAGAACCAAACTATTTGACAGTGATACACTTGGTGGTCAGTGTATTACTAAGTAATTCATCTTCAAAATTGACGTAATTTAAAGATCAATTTTTACGGATTAAAACTTTAATTAGAGACAAATTAATTATTATCGTTGCGCAACATGGCCAAAAATAATTCCCAAGAGATAAAGTGGTACCGAATCTTGCACGATATTAATAAATGTAAACAAATTAACCGACACATTGGCGATAATATGGAAAATTGATCTATATACGCAGACGATTCTAGGGGGTTTAAGGGGGGGGGGGGGGGGGGCGGTAGCCCGCCTCATCGTTAAGAAAATTTTGGACTTGTGAGAGGCTAAAAATGACCCAAGGTCGATCATAAGGTAATGTGTAACCAACGCTGAAAAGCCTTTGACTCTATCTCAATCCATGGAAAGTTGCAGCACTTTGAAATCAAATTTGATTGAAAAAAATCAACGCAAAATAGTGACTTTTGGTAATTTTTAGATGTCCCCTCGTTGCCATGGTAACAGGAAATTTAAGATTGAGCATGTTGTTACAAAGGCAATGGTCCAGTCAACATGTTTGCCAAGTTTGATTAGTATTGAAGAAGTTTTTATAGTTTTATAGCAATTTGAACTTGTAACGGGAGGCTTTTCAATATGCTCAAGACGGAAAGGGTTAAATGAAATTGCGAAAAACGTGTTAGCAATTTGACCAGTACATTTACCATAAAACTAATTTTTGATTCCTTAGCAACCCTGCATATTACAGAAAAATGCATTCATTATGTTACGAATCGTGCGCGATAATATACATGAGCAATTTTACTATTACTTTTACTACAAATCAATTTTTTTGTTTCCACGGCACCCCAACATACAATATAAAAATGCATTTATTATCCCACTGAACATAGATAATATATTCGCAAAAAACGTGACAATATATAATAATAATAATTCATATTTTTTTCTCCGACACAACATTTCATGTTTATTATTACAAATTTAATCGTATAACCATAGCTTTTTTCGATAAAATTCTTACTGAATGTGTTAAAGTTTCTTCTACGTTTTTATGAGTATTTATTTCGTTTTATTTAAATTTTGTTTTGTTAATTTCATTATGATGAGGGAAACGAGTGAATCATAGTGAAACGAGTGAAGAAAACACACCTGAAATATTGGGAAAACATGCACTTTCTAAAGTAAACTGATGACATTTTGCACAAGTTTTACTGTATCATGTTTTTGCTAGCCGGTGCAGCCGGAACTAAATTCCGGTTAGCCGGAGCAGCTGGAACAGCCGGAACATCCGGACTAGGCACAAAAAGTGTTCCGGCTTCATGAACATCTTTCTTAAAGCATAACTTTTAATTGTAAAACAATAATGAATATGAAACATTTAAATACAATTTAAAGTTATATCTTTGTATAAAACGTTTTTTCAACATGAAAAAAAAAAACAAAACGAACTGTATCTGGAGTCGGTGGTGTTAGTAGTTTTCACTCCGGATCAAGGCAATAAGCCACATTGAAAGCACATTTCAGCCACAGCGTAGTTTCTCGGCAGGCTGTGAAGCAGTTTACCAGTACTAGTTACCTCCACTATTGCATGGCACTGAAACTTCTGTACATGCCAGAGCAGAGGTACAATGCAAATGACCGTAGAAAAGCGCAACGAAAGTGACATGCACCGTCCAGAAATCTAACTCGGGTCACTTTTGAGCTAAAACAACAACAAAAACCAACTATATATAAGGGACATTTTTAAATTCTCATTCTACTTATTAGTTTACCCAGATGTAATGATCTTTTATGACATTTTTCTTTATTTTAGATTTGCTACAAAACAAACTTATCAGTCTTTTACAAGAAAGATATATAAAACTTTTGAAAGACAAAACGTTAATTGAACGCGACATCGGAATATTAAATTGTAAATCAAGGACCGGTTATGTTTTTTTACAAAGTTACAAAAACATTGTTTTTTTATAATAATGATTTCTGAGGGTTTTTTTCCCCAAAAATTTAACCTTTTCGAAAACAGTGTTACGTATAGACTAATGAACCCGGAACCTCCAAGAAAAAAAAATCAACAAAAAAAAAAAACAAACAAAAAAACACCCCCCCCCCCAAAAAAAAAAAACAACCACAAAAACAACAACAAAACACCATCTAATACTGATGTATGTGGCCGTTTTTCTTGCCGATGTTTACCGACTTTTTAATACAACACTGATGATGTAATGGCACAAACTCTAGAATTTATGTTTTTTGACTAAATCATTCCTAGTTTAAAATTAACCTTTCGACCCGTTAAGTAGTTTTAGCGGATTTTATTTCATCGACAAACTGACTTTGAGATGGAACATTTCCCTTAAATACTTTTCGGTAATCTGTGTCAATCTTAATGGTGTAAATATGGACCGCATTTTTCTAACTAGTAAAGAAGGCTGACTATCATAATGACAACATGTGCACCGCTTGTGTGTTGTTTTTTTTACTTTTGGTAAGTAAAGAATGTCAGTCAAACACCGGTGTGATGTATACACACTTTTATTACAAGTAGCTTTTGATGACATAAAGTTACACAATCTACTCATTTTTTTGCTAGCCCGTTTTGTCAGGTTGTCATATTTTATGACGTCACCGTATCAAAAACGCAAATAATCGTATCCCATCATGCAATTGGTATCTGGAAGTGGGAATAACCGTGTGCGTGCTTGATTTTTTTCTGGAATAATCTACAAAAATGAACAATTATTTCGCAGTATGTACCATTATATTATTTTTACTTTTTTATGTTATATATTATATCATAAAGTTTATTGCAAACCTTTTAAGATTTTATTTGTTGCATTGTGTGTATTAAATTTAAACGTTACTTTGCAAAGAATGTATTTTTATTGTAATGAACATAAAAAAAAAGATACTTATCAAGGGTGTACATAAATTGTTAAGTAAGTGCAATATAATATTTCTACATCAAAATAAACATTTAAGTAGTATCAACAAATTAATATCATGAAATGATTGGGGGAAAATGAGAAGAAAAATAATAACCCTAAACTAATGTTGATTTTTAAAAACAAATGCATCATTTTTACGCACTAAAATGTTAATAATTCTAAAAGTTATCGAAGAAAATAAGCTTTTTTTTAAAACAATCTGTAAAGTTTCAAAAAATCTATATACAAATAAACTCAAAATTTTACTTGTGGATCCATTCCTTAAATGTCAATGGGATAAATTTAAAGGTACGACAACGCTTTTACCATTCTGCTTTTTGATTGGGCTATTTAGAAATGTATATCAATCGTAAAGTATTATTTCAATATATTATGAAATGTAATAACATGACGTGTTTCTTTCAATATTAATGGTTCTAATTTTCTGAATTTACTAAAGAAGTATAAACGAATTGATTTCATTATTATATAAACCTGTTCATAATACGATTTTATGTAAATTCTAGGACCTGATCTAAACGTTTTTCAAGATTTGGTCTCTAGGAAATTTATTTTTCAAGATTTGGTCTCTAGGAAATTTATTTTTCAAGATTTGGTCTCTTGGAATGGAAAATAATTCGACACTTATTTTCTCTATTTCTCTGCTGCTTCCGCATACTTTTCTTTATTTAATATTAGAGTTTACTTTGTTAGCAAAAGTACTATCTGCTTCATTTATGTAAAAATATAACAGAAAAAGGAAGAAAGAACAGTTTTTATATTAGTAAGAAAGTAAATCAGTAAATGTACTTTAATTGGACCTTTTAGTCTCTTGTATCGATAATAGTAATCATTTAAGTTAATATATAACAATAATAATAAATAAATCGCTAGTTTTTTGCCGTCTGTCACTTCTTCTGCTCCATCATCCATCAATCACAGTTGTCATGACAACACCTGATCATCGTGTATTTTATATCTACGTAGATACATCGTAAAACAAACAAAATAACCAGACGACAATTTATGTACGATTTATGTTCCATAGTTTTTGTTATACATTTAATGAACAACTTGTAATGTGATTTTAAAACAACTTATTTGAAATGTCACAGAGAGTTTTTTTTATTCGTTCATGAAATTTTATCGTTGATTGTGATTTTTTTTGAATGATATATATTTATTATGAATATGAAATTCTACCAAATGGCAAAAAGGTCATGGTGTCGGTATTTATCAACGTAAAATGTTGTTTTCATTTTGCTTTAAAAAAGTCAAGATATTAAAAAAAATATTGGAACATCTTTAAAATACTTAACTTAAATTCATTACATAAAACGTTTATTATGTTTTTAATGAAAATATCTTAAATTTCTTTATCTAAACAAAAAATAAACATACTTCATATTATACAAAGCCAGTGCTAGGCTAACCTACTTCTGTTAAAATGCAAGAAGAAGAAGAAAAACAACAACAACAGCAAAACAACATCAAAAACAAACATCAACAATAACAACGACGAAATATGAAAGATAAGCTTGTACAATGATTTAATAATAAATTATTCAACTTTTTTTTTAAATATCATTTACCATGTAATAAATCTTAAAGTGAAATTTCAAATATACATTTTGAAGAAACACTCGATCTTACCCCAAAAGGTATAAAAATCGATAGTTGTGCATATTTAGCCCGATTTGAGTCAAATGCTTAGCAACGCTTTTCATTTTTGGGGTCATTTTACACTTACTGGAAAAACGGTGTGGAAAAAACATCTGAATTTGCTCTTAAGTTATTGGTTCAGATCTACACCGAATGGTACACAAACTTCGGAAAAGTATTTCCGGTCCCGTAATGTCAAAAATAACCTCAGTGGAGTCCCTTTAATTGTAAAACTTGATGCGAATAATGAAAGATAAGATATATTTGATAAGTATTGTAGCCAGGCCTTTTATAAGTTAGTTTCGAAATTTATATCATTATTCATATTTTATGGAACAGCTTTGAACTATCCAGGCTTTTATCATAATCTCATTTGTTTTAAGGTCATCAATTAACATATTTATTATCTAATATGCCATCATACAATCATACGTTACATGATAGGTATGACCCGTCGAGAAAGATGTTCCTTATACCCAATGGTGTAACTGAACATACGTGCCTTGTGAACTGAATATATAATTGCAATAAATGTGGATTTATGAGCAATATTTCACATAAAACCGTTCAAGTTAATATTCAAGTTACTATGTGTATGTCAAATTTAAGTCAACAGTTAATAGGTCTGTAATAAACGTCACTCAAACGCAGATCAGTACATCCCCAAATTTAGTTCCTTAAAGCGGCTTCACCATGCATTTGACCAAAATTTAGTTCCTTAAAGCGGCTTCACTACGCATTTGACCCAAATTTAGTTCCATAAAGCGGCTTCACCATGCATGTGACCAAAATACTATACCTAATGTAGTTTCTTAAAGTGGCTTCACCATGCATTTGACCAAAATTTAGTTCCTGAAAGCGGTTTTACCACACATATGGCCAAAATTTAGTTCATTTAAGCGGCTTCACCATGAATATGACCAAACTACCATACCTAATGTAGTTCCTTAAAGCGGCTTCACCACGCATTTGACCCAAATTAAGTCTTTTAAAACGGCTTCATCATGTATATGACCAAACTACCATACCGAATGTAGTTCCTTAAAGCGGCTTCACCACGCATTTGACCCAAATTAAGTCTTTTACAGCGGCTTCATCATGTATATGACCCAAATATCATACCTTATGTAATTCTTTTAAGCGGCTTCACCATGAATATGACCAAACTACCATACCAAATGTAGGTCCTTAAAGCGGCTTAGCCAAACATACAACATAAAAGCATGCTTAACCCTAACCCAGCTGAAGCCAATCATAAATGTGCATTTATCACCAATATAGATATATCACCAATTGATTAGTTATTATACAATTTCAAGAAATATCATTTGGACGAGAATTTAAGAAATAGCAGGATAACGATTCGATTCAATCACTCCACAATAACTTAAATCAAATTGGTGAAGCTCTGATTTCGTTAAACATGTTAATCACAATTATCTGAAATTACATGGTGTTAAATTTTAGACATTTCAAAAAAAAGAAAGAAAAAAAAGAGAATAAATAAATAAATGAATGAATGAATGTATGAATGAAGAACGAACGAACGAACGAACGTACGAGCGAATGAACAAATAAACAAACAAATAATAAAGTAAAATAAAAAGTAAATAAATAAAAAGAATAATTAAAAAAATAATAAATAAATAGATAAAAAATAAGATTAAAACACGTTAATAATAATGACTAACAAATTATTTTAACAGATTCCGCACGAATACAAATTGGATAACCGTAAAATATTTCCCTCATAAAGTGATGACTTATCTTAAAAGCGAGTTTTCTCATTAAAACTTAATTGATATTCTAATTATAAAACAAAGAGACGTTTTTGTGTGCAGGTAATAGTTAAAATGTTTAATTTAAAAAGCCAGTTTAATGTTGTTGATGACAAACAAAGTTCAGGACGCACTGACTGTCATCTTAATAGTGTAATATGACAACTGTTCTAAGAGTAAAAATCTGCACATACAGCGTTTGCTGTTTAATATTATTCATGCTTTACGTCAAACAAAGGGATATCCTTGCACACACACAAAAATGTTCCGGAAATGAGTCAAAACGTTGACTTACAGTATAATGTATGGGCATGTTGAAATGCTATTTCCTACGACATATAACATAACATAAAGAAAGTAATTGAATAAATAAAAAAATATAGAACTCTTCTTATTTAAAAGTTCTACAATATAAGTTATTTTTTCACGTAATTTTCTGACTTTCTCGAGTTAAATCCAAATACCATCTTACTGCCGTCAATACTTTGAAAATATAGGTGTTATCAATTACTTTTTTATTTCAATACACAAATCTATGAAAAGTACGTAGATTTAATGTTATATTTTTTGCTAAAATGCCTTTTGATTCAACCATGATTTACTGATTATAGAAGCAGATCTATTTGGTATTAAAGTGAAATCTCGAAAATGAAAACTTGTCTTAAGACATGTCTTACAGCAGCAGTAACAATAACACCACCACCGCCACCATCACCACCACCAACAACAACAACAACACACAACCACCACCACAAACAACAACAATTACAACAACAACAATTACAACAACAACAACAACAACAACAACAACAACAGCAATTATAACAATTATAACAACAACAATCACAACAACAACATAAACAAGAACAACATAAACAAGAACAGCAACAGCAACAAAAACAACAGCAGCAGCAACAACATAGCAACATAAACAACAGCAAAAACAACAACAGTTTATTTCAGCATTATCTAACATACACTACTTCTAGCCCACAAAACATTATAATAATGTTATATACCAGAATAAATAACGCTTACTTTGATTAATACACATTAATGTACATGTTTCTGACAATAATTGATGACACGTCGTAGAATGAGTGACAGTTGTTGCTTTCATATGTACACTGCAATACAACTGCACCGCAAGATTTCTCATTTGACAGTGATGTACAAAATTGTGATAACTTCATGAAACAAACATGAAATCTCGCGTTATTTTATTTGAATCTCACGAGGAACCTAAATAAAAGATAAAAACACACACATACCAACAAAAAGAAAAAAAAAACAGAAAAAAAACAACAAAAAAACTATAGATACATTCTAGTTTTAAATGGCAAATTTAACAATACAGAGCAGAAACTCTCTTTTTTTCACAT